ATACCTAATACCCTAATACCCTAATACCCTAATACCCTAATACCCTAATACCCTAATACCCTAATACCCTAATACCCTAATACCCTAATACCCTAATACCCTAATACCCTAATACCCTAATACCCTACCCTAATACCCTAATACTAACTACTATATCACACTAGACCTACTGAAGGCCTTAATACCAATAGGGAAGATAGTTTCTCTTACTGCCCTAGCTTCCTTCTGGTACCTCGAGCGATTCCTAATTGAGGTAATCAGTATTATGGTGGATTACATTGTTTATATGACCTATGACTTATATGGCCAATAGGACTATGGTAATGCTTACTTGGACGATGGATGCTCAGACGGCAACTGTCTGCGATCCTATGTCAACCTGACCGAAACCCTTAGCGCTATGTCCATGATCACTAAGGCGGGTGTTTCTTTAAACAAAATAGCTGTCGGAGTAGCTAGTTACGCCCGCTCCTTTAAGATGACCGAGGCTGGCTGCTGGACCGATATATGCACCTACACCGGACCTGACTCCGGCGCTTGGCTAGGCCCTTATACTAATACCATAGGATATATTTTAAATTATAAGCTGGAGCTGGTGATGGCAGAGAACCTAACTATAGGGCAGCACTAGGACAACGGCTCGTATAGTAATATTTTGGTGTTTAACGATACTTAATAGGCTATATACATGAATAATATAAATAAAGCTGTGCGAACTACCCTATATGAGAATCTGAACTTCTTGGGAATAGCTGATTAGGCTGTTGATCTTTAATTAGAGGACGGCAATAAAGATAGTGCCGGCTCTGGTATCATTTATATCAGCCTATCTATCTTTAATAAGACTGACCTAGAAGTGGCTGGTTACCCGCCCTTCACGATGGTTTAGCTAACCAACACCCTTGATTCTCCGATTATTGTTAACTTCCCTCCCTATCTATATGTTTATAATAAGGAAGGTTATCAGCATACTTCCTGGATGCACGTGCCTTCAAGAGCGGTTAGCCATATAAGCTACTTCTAGTGGTCTGGACCACCCTCTGGCATCCCTACCATAAAATACACCCTTTCTAGTAGTTATAGTGCCTCTCCGGTCATAATCCTTGGTAGTGATGGTAATCTGCCTATGGTTTTGTATCTACCTCCTATTAAGATACCCTTTACGATACTATATACTATCATTGATGGCAATAGTTATATTGTTATAGATGGCACTACCATAGTTAGTGATATAAATAGGCTTTCTATTATTATAGGCATTCCTTCTCTAGCTGCTACGCCCTAGACGGTCACGAAAATCATTTACGTTGAAAACCTAGTCAGCACCACCAGCACAGCGGCCAACAACATAGTTATAGTTGTGGTCTTGCCCACTGCCGATTCTAAGTCTAGCTCTATAACTATAAATACCCTGCTAGAGACAACCTCTATATCTAGCACGATCATATATACCTGGTTAGAGCAGCAGATTAATAGCTTAGCTATTATTGACACTATTACTACTATCACGATAACCAAGGTTAATGATAAAATAACCACTACTAAAATTATGCCTATTAATACTGGTGGCTTCTACTAGTTACTAGTGTTGGTTCCTGATATTCTGTTACTAATAATGCCTTTGCCTGACTTGCCGCTGGTTCCTACTCTCCCTTGCTTTACCCTCTTTGATATCTTCATAATTGATTGCCCACCGAGTAATGATCAGGATAACGAAAAGTCGAAAAAGACTATTAAATATACTAGTGTAAAGGAATCGCCCACCTATAGTCCTAGCACCGCTAAATCCTGTGGTACTCTCTATACCTCTAACTATAAGCCTTCATCCACATCTATATCGGAGACAACGACTTCCTCCACCACCTATAGCTCCGAATTAACGGTTACCGATTACTGGGTCTCCTATGGTACTATAACATGCTTAACTATAAGCACCGCTAAGGTCACTAGATATGATGTGATAGCTACAACGATAACCATGGGTCTCTATTATGGTGCCACCTATTATACTAATATCTAGTCTACTAATGATTAAGGTGAGAATGGTGCTTAATATAATACTAGTAGCATAGCGACTATCCTATAGGAGGTTGTTGCAGCCGGGACCACCTATATAGCTGGTTCTAACGGCGCCGTCACACTTGGTAATAGTGATGTCATCACTATCCCTACTAGTGTTATGGGTATAACGACTGTTACCCTTAGTATAGTTGTTGCTATAATTGATCCCGCCGAAAAGACTATTATTATAGTGGTTTACGCTATAGATTTAGCTAGTACTTTAACCATATCTAAATCCACTACCAAAACGTCGAAGTCTAAGACAACGACGTCCACGACTACCAAGAAGTCTATTAGTACTACTATAATAGTCACCATCCTAACTACTACTAAGGCTTATGCGAAGTATGTTATTAAAAATAAGGACACGAAATTAGATAAGTATAGTTTAAAGTATGATTAATTCATCTTTGTTATATAGGGTATCTAGTAGGGGGCACTTAAATCAGATGATGTCGAAGGCGAGATTACCAATATCTTGGAAGGTTGTGGTATCATAGTAGATATCTATGTTATAGCTAATACCGCGAAATAGGGTATAGTCGTAATATAGAATAACGACGAGAACTATATTCTCACCTTATATGTTAAATTAAGAATCAAGGCTTTAGGTGGCGGCACTCCTGACTACGAATAGATCTATATGGTTTCGGAAGATATGGAGTACCCTATTAAGGACTTAGTAGAAGCTAAGATAAGTTGGATTTATACTAACTACGTAACTACTATTTTAGCGCCATACCCTCTATCAACTTGAATAGTTTAATATAGAATCTAATGTTTAAAACCTTGATAGTATTACCTTCTTAGAGATATGACTTATAGTGGGGAAGTGAAGTTGTTATCATAGTATAGCCTAAGATATTATATTTATATCTATTCTTACTAAATAATATTGTTGGCTTATGGATCGTCTTGAAATGCTGTTAGAGTTAATCTTTTCGAGAGTAGCGTAATAATTTCATCGACCGAGGAGTAGTAGGGTCCTCTATATATATTAGATATTATAGAGACTGATCTCCTCTTCTCCTTTTCACCTCGCCCTCCTTCTGTTTAGGCTATTCATCAATTTTCGCTTTTCTTCTCTTGTGATCGAATATAGGCTTATAGGCCACTAGCGGAGCTTATTAAGTTCTAACTATAATTCTAGAGATAGAATATAGTCCTTAATTAATTGATTATCATCGATCTTATTAATATCCTAGTTCGGGAACTCTAGAGTAGCTAGGGCGAATCTTTCCGGCTGCGCACTACTGGTATCAGGTGCGTATTCGATTAGTTTCCCTATAGCGTTGCTCTTAATGATCCGATTCCCGACTTGCTTAAAGAACTCGCGGTGAATAGCTACTAAAGCTTTATAGTATAGTCTCCTTCGCCTTGCTTTAACCTTGTTTCCTAGTCTTTAAAATTCATGAAAGCGTTTGTTACCAGATTCTTTCGCGATCTTTAACTGCCTAGACTATGATATATCGCTCCGAAGGCTCTTGCGATTATATAATAAAAGCGAAAGTCTGGCCCTAGGATCTTGTGTGAGAGTTCTAGGAGCGCTACTATTCCTAGGACTGGTTAAGATGATCCTGAAACCAACCCTACCATAAATAGGATAGGGATTCATGAATCTAGGACTGATTCTAAGTATCTTCTAAGTCTCTATCCTGCTTTATATACTAGGTCTTACTATTCCTTATTACTTCTATCTTGTTACTTGAAACTATAAATTCATCGTCCTTTCCCTTACCTATTATAAGAATCACTACTGAATTTAGTGTCGAAGCTAAAATAACTATAAAAACCTATGATTATGTGGAACTACCTCTACTAGACCTATCTATTAAGAAATTTATATGTTTCGGCTTTGTAAGTCGCTCTAGCCAATCTTCGCGAATATTATCTAACCTTTGCCTCTAGGTGTTTTTTCCTCTATATGAATCTAAGCTCGACGAAAATTTATATAGGGATTAATAGATTAAATTAGAGATAAGCAATTTACAGCGACTCTCTATGGTATTCACCACTCTATCTAACTAATCCCTTTAATAGCTACTAGAAATAGGGGTGACCATATATTATCGAATATTCCTTACCTAATATCAAGTGGTTATGAACCTCTATAGACCACCCTCCTTCTTGATTTGTCCTATTTTTGAAATTGCCTATACTGGTAAGGTTTTGTTGTAGCCTCTAATATACCTATAGCTACCTCTTTGTGCCAATATAAACATGAAATACAAGAATCTATAGTAGCTTAGGTTCGCTAGGGATTTAAATAGCTCGATTCTCTATATAGGAGAAACTAAGTATATCAATAATATTGTGAATGCACCTAGGAATTATTTGCGTCTCTAATACTACACCGGGTTTTTAGATTTAGATTGGCTCCGTTTATTCTGTCTTGCCTTAATATAATTAAACCGACTCTGGTTTTCGATCGCTATATCTATACTAGTGGATAGTAAGATAATCGTATTTCTATATTCTGATAATATTAGTCCTAAAAAGTAGTATAGATAAATATCAGGTATAGAATTATAGTTATTAGGCGCCCCTTAACTATTTAGCTTAGTAGTTCTAGGGACCTAGTATTCGAGACTTACTGAATACAAGGGCTAGTATCGGCTTAAGTCGGCTTATAGTATTAATCATTGATATATGTTATCTAGGATAGGTTAAAGTAAGAGCCGTAGTACTATAGTTAATATGGTATAGCTATAGTATACTTAGTAGAAATATTTTGAGTAGGCGATAGCTTAGACCCTAAAAATCCGTCATTAATAAGTAAGGCGACTTACTTAAAATATAGCATGATCGTCGGCCTCTGTTTTAGATTAATAGCTAATACTAAAGTTTAGAGGGTGATGATAAAAAGGTATACTATTGTAGTCGGGCGATGATCGCTGCCTATCATTGAAAGTACGGCTGTTAAGATAAGGTTGAACGTTGATTAATGCTCTTTAAAACGAATAATAACTAAATATGAAATATTTTTTTTCTAATAATTTACTATTATTTTTAGATTTCAGTGAATTACTTAAAGGCATCCACCCTTAAGATAACTGTTTATTTTTTACTGGCCTATATTTAGATTTCGCCTAGCTAGTCACCTTAATAAGTCGAGGTTTAATAGGCCTGACTTTATATAGGCAACTTCGATGCCCCTAAAAAGTAATAGACCATAAAGACTTCACCGCGGTAATATAAAGTAGGCGGTAATAAGACTAGTTAAGAGACCTATAAATATAGCCTCCTCCCTTGGTTCTTGGTCGAAACAATTCTCTTCCTACTATATCTAAAGGGCTCCCTTAAGCTGAAACCAAAGTGCCCTACTATAGCGGATGATGGGTCACTTCTCCTTAACCCTTAGTATTCGCTATGACTGATATCCTCGGTGTATATAGAAGCCACCGAGTTACCTAGCCCCCTCTACCTACTAGTGGTTTACTCTATTATATCCGTCTTCGTGACTATGGGCTAGAGCCTAAGCCTTAACTAGCGAGAATCCTTTAGTAAGTGCTCTATCTATATGCCTTATCAAGTAGAGCTAATAATATGACTTCTGACTAGTTTATTGAT